AGTCAAAAAAAACCCAAAAAACAAAAAACAATCAGTTCTGTCTAGCCCTGAGGCATACCGATTGAGCACACTGCATAGGATGTAGGATATCACTTGGTTGACCATGGTTCACATCTGTGGAGGGAACATAAAAAATTAGGTAAAACAAGCTCCAGCAGGTGGCGTGGTGGTTAAGATGCTAGACTCCCACGTGGCCAAGTCTGTTTTGAGTCTTGGACCTGGTGGCTTGTTTTCTCACATTCCTTCTCTCTCCCTCTGCATCTCTCTCTCTGGTCAAGTTAAACTAAATGAAGAAATTAAATTAAACATTTTTTGAAACCTTAGGTAAAACAAAGATTAATAAAGAGGGCTTTAAAAAATGGGCCTTACCAGGGCCAGCAAATGGCATGGTGGTTAAAGTTGCTGGACTCCCACATGGCCAACTGTGGTTCAAGTCCTGGACCTGGCAGGTTCCTTTCTCACGTTCTCTCTTTCTCTCTGTCCTGTTCTGGTCAAATTAAAATAAATAAATAAATACATACATACATACATACATACATACATGAGTAAAGTTAAATAAAATTTTAAAAATAAAAAAAATGAGCCTTATCTAAGTAATTAAGTAAACTTTCCCAGATGAAGGGCCCAACATAAAGCCTTCCAAGATAAGGTGTAGTTTTTTTGGATTTTTTTTTAGGTTTTTGTCATGGTGCACTCTGGAGAGAGACAGAGAGGGGAAGTGAGAAATCACAACCCCTTGCCAGGAGGGATGGTCATGTTACAATCCCTTCTCCAACCTTCTCTCAGGATTTTCAGCACACATGCATTTTTTTAAACCTTAGGTAAAACAAAGATTAATAAAGAGGGCTTTAAAAAATGGGCCTTACCAGGGCCAGCAAATGGCATGGTGGTTAAAGTTGCTGGACTCCCACATGGCCAACTGTGGTTCAAGACCTGGACCTGGTGGCTTGAAGAAACGTTCTCTCTTTCTCTCTGTCCTGTTCTGGTCAAATTAAAATAAATAAATAAATACATACATACATACATACATACATACATGAGTAAAGTTAAATAAAATTTTAAAAATAAAAAAAATGAGCCTTATCTAAGTAATTAAGTAAACTTTCCCAGATGAAGGGCCCAACATAAAGCCTTCCAAGATAAGGTGTAGTTTTTTTGGATTTTTTTTTAGGTTTTTGTCATGGTGCACTCTGGAGAGAGACAGAGAGGGGAAGTGAGAAATCACAACCCCTTGCCAGGAGGGATGGTCATGTTACAATCCCTTCTCCAACCTTCTCTCAGGATTTTCAGCACACATGCACATGAGCTCAGTGTGACCTAAAGCTGGATGTGTCATCTTCCCAGACAGAAGGCTTTGGTCACTGATTGCTACTCTGTCCTGTGATACCTAAGCATCTAGCTTTTCATGATTCAACATCGCATTTCTTTTTGTTTTTGTTTTTTGCCATAGGGCAGGTGCCACCACACCCATTTTTCTTTCTTTCTTTCTTTTTTTTTTTTAAGAGAGATTTTTGCTGTAGGGAACATGCATTTGCTGGAGACCCAAAATGACAGTGAGTGAAAGTGAAAAATCACCTCCCAGAAGGATAGCCATGATGGAATCCCTTCTCCTTCATTCTCCTCTTGGGATTTTGGGCATGTACACACACATACCTGGTGTGAATTTTAAACCACTGGGTCTAGGAATTGAACTCTGGTTGGCTATGTGGGAATCCAGCACTGAAACCTCACTACCTGCTGGTCACAAACATGGGACTTATCATCAGGAACCTTCCTGACACCTTCATGAAGCCTCCTTCCAGTTAGCATCTGAATCTTTAAAAAAAAAAATGTTTTATTTAACTTTCTTAATTAATTTATCTTAATTTGACCAGAGAGGGACAGAGTGAGAGAGAAGTAAGAAAGCCACCAAGTCCAGGACTCGAACTGGGGCTGGCCATGTGGGAGTCCAGCACCCCAAACCACCATGCCAACCTGCCAGCCTCTCTCTTTTTTTTTTTTTAAGAGAGAGGTTGCTATAAGGCACCTG